ATTGAGAAACTACACTAAAGGCCAAGCTTTTCACTTCTGCATCCTACAGCTATTTTTCATACTTCACAATCCTGATTCTTTCCTTCTGCCCCTTTGATGTTACCCTGAGGAAAGATTACAGAGAAGACTGAACAGATTCCTAAAACGATGCCTGATGTTGGGCCAGGGAGCACATAGAAATACAATCCTGTAAGAAACTGGATTCAGAATTGGGTATGAGTTTTGAAGGAGTGTGTCTTTTTGGAACTCTTGTATGAATTAGGAATGTTGGGTCCTCAAAGATGGAGGCCGCTAACCAATTGCCTGGAAGTTCAAGAATGGGTTAGGCCAGTTAGGTCATGGTGGATATTAGGAACACTGACAGTGCATTCTCTGGGTGCTGGGATATCGTGCATTCAGGTGGGAATGTGGTGGGTCGGCAAAGAGCTCTGCCTGACTCACCCTCAAATAGCCTCTGGTAAACCTACAGTAGGAAATCACTAATTTCCCAGGGATTTTTATTAACATTCCTTCCCAAAGAGATAAGTTTTCCTGTCCTCTCTTTATTGTAAATGACTGACTCTTTGATATCTTTAAAATAACTCATGGCTATAAAGTCACAAACATTTTAACTTTTCTTCCTTCTATTACTCCTTAGACTTGCATTAAAAAAATGTTCAAGTTATATCTTCATTGTAGGAAAAAAATATATAGAAAAGCAAAAAGAAATAAAAATCATTCCTACAATCATTCTATCAGAGATTGACTATTAACATTTAAAAACTTTTTTCCATCCATTTAAATAAGTGCAATTATGCCGTACATTCTGTTTTGTGGTCTGCTTCGTTTCCCTGCAATATATTGTGAGCACCTTTCCATATTCACCAGAGTCTTTATCTGTGAGATTGTACTCCATATATTTGGCTCTCTTTAAAAAAAAAGATCAGGCCAAATAATGGGGACCCATGGGTTTACTTATGATGCTTCCTTGAGTTAAAGTCTTTCTAAAGGCCAAAAATTCTAGAACCAGGGCAGGGGATGGTGAAAAGGTACTCAGCCATCTTTCAAAGACTACTTTTTTTTGCAGCTACTTTGACAGAGACATGGCAGTTCATCCCACATTTCCTATTAGAACTTTCACTAATGTGGTGACTTTTCAGGCCTGAGTGTTACAGACAATGCTTCAAGGTACCTCTCATTGCCCCTTATAGTCCTGGGGAATAGCAAAGGTGACTTGGGAAAAGGAGGAGGAAAAGAGAGGAGAAGGAGGGAAAGACCAGAAAGAAGAAAAAACGCCAGAGGTATTCAGAAGAAAGGGGGTGAAAGATGCCAAGATCTTGGCTTTGCTTGCAGCTGGGTGGTACCAGCCCGAGCTACCTCTGCTTGCCCTCCCTGGAGGGAATGGGAGCTTTTCTCATGAGGTCACTCTAAGTCCCCATTCTCAGATTTAAATGCTTGCACTCACTATCAAGCTTTTAAAATGCTCACATCTGGGCTGCATTACCAAAGAGGCCCATGTGTTTGGGGAAGATTATTTACAGCAGCAGATAACGATAACAAGCCTTGCCTGGAGAAGTCCACCAGCAACTAGGGGAGCTGGGACTCACATTGGAATGGAGACTGGGTTAAATGAACTATGGTGCATAAATTATGGGTCACCTGCACACACATTTGTCATGTACATATTTAGCACATATCATTGAGATTTTATAACTGAAGAAAAGACAACTGTTTAATAAAGGGTGAACTAAGCGCTCTCACCATAAATGTTTTCTTTGCTCCATGCAGAAGCAGCAGGTGTTTCTAAGCTGCTTCCTACCTCCTGGGAAATAATACCGAGGAGAAAGTCCTACCTTCCAAATCTGTAGGACCCCAGGTCTTAATTCAGGAATCAATGAAACCATATTTAGCCTAGTGCCTGCCCTAGGTTAATGCTATATTTCAATAGAGAAGAAAGTTCTGGAGAGCAAAATTGTATGATATTTTCTTTTATCAAAAATACTACAATGAAAAAAAGTGATATTTTATTATGTTTGCATAATACTTTACAAAATAATTTTGTACTTCCTGATCTTTCTTTACTGCTCACAACTGACCTGTCCAAGACCATACTCACCACCTCCAGGGCACTGTACCAGAATCTGGGACAGGATTGCGGGTGGGTTGGGGGACTTGGGGGTTGGAGGAATATGACTGTGTCATTTGAAAAATTTCCCAGGATAATTATCTATGTCCCCTCCCTGGGAGAAGCTCTGAAATGCAATGCACCATTTCATCTTATCTCTTTTACTAAAGAAACCAATTATTCACCATAAAAATGCCATAACTTAATGAACCTATCTTCACTGTTGGCATTTGGATACTTTCTTTTCTCCCTGTGCATCGACAACTTGGCAGCTGCATAGCTGGGTGACTGTGAATGAGGCTGGCAGCCAAGTCATAGTGCACCTTGCTGATGGGAGAGGCAATGAAATACCTCTGCTATATTAAGAGGTCCTGGGTATTTCCAGAGGCTCCTATAGTGACCAAATACCCATCAGAGGCAAACACTGTCATTGGCTCCGTTCTTCAGTGAATGTTTAGTAATGCAGGCAACCTAGAGGGTTGGTGCCGCTGTCTGTTGGGATGTAAGTATCACCTGTTGGGATGTAAGTATCACCGTCAGTTTCTGTTTTCTTGAAGGCATGACTTCACCAGATGCACAGCAACTAAATTGGTAAGATCTCCTAGAACTACATTTCACTCAATGATCTCTGTTAAGTTCCCTTAATTCTTTGGTATGTGTTTTTGCTTGATCATTTCTTTAATTAAATTGGAGTTGCAACAAGTAATTAATTGGGATAATAACAAAGACTATTATGATCTCACTATTCTGTTGGGAGGAAGGATTAAGTGAATAATTAAAAACTTGATAAGGGTGTTAAACATTAAGCAGTCATGCCAAGTAATTGTGGAGCACTCTGGAGATAACACTAGTAAGTGCTGAAACTCAGGGACAAGAAGCAGGATGCTCTGGCATCTCAGGAACCTGCTCTGAAAAGATAGGGTGGCTCTCTGAATGACTGTACAGAAGGGAAGACATAGTTTCCTCCCCTGGTATTTTGAGACCAACAATAGACCACATCAGAGTTGTAAATAACTAGAACACAGGTCTGGTGACTAAATATGTGGCACTTAAATTCTTCAAAGACGTAACACTTTCGCTATGTTCCTCTCCATGAGCACTGCTCGTGTGTGCAAAGATTGGAGTACCTGAAGCTGAGATGCTTAATAGGAGACTGGAGAGCTTAATTATGGAAGCTCAAAAGTAGATTTTTATCCATTCAAATGAAAGATCTCTAAATAAAAAAAATAAAGTAAGTTACCAAACAACTTATCACCCTTACTTTTCTCTAAGAAGGGGAACAAATTGGGGGTAGAGGTTAAGAAAGAAGCCTGGCAGAGAGTAATTTTTATTTTTCACTCTAATCCTTTCTTTCATATAGTTGAAATGTTTACAGTGATAATATAATTCTTTCTAAAAAACATGATATATGTTGAGCTATTTTCCCTATATAATACAAGATTAAAATTTCTTTATTCTGTGATCTCTGCTTAATTACTACTAGAACTTTTTCCTGTTCCTTGCTGGCTTATGTTTGTCTTTTTCTGTATCTCCATGGACACAAGCAGTAGTCTCACATCACACTGCTTCCAAGAAACTCCTGTGTTTTTCTTTCAGATTTCTGTGCATTTTTCCATACTGGTTACATTTCTGGACAAATCTCCATTATGTTCCCCCTTCCCGGGGTTTAAAAATGTATTTCTGGTGGTAAAAAAGAAATTCTCAACCAGATTTCAGAGCAGGAAGCAAAAAGCAAATTGGGGTTGTTGACAATTTGTTTACTGAGTAAAGAGGGCTACCATCTACAGTCACCATCAATTCATACATAAAAAGATCCTTAAAGAGAGGACATCTTATTACCACACTTTTGGATTTCATGGAACACACTGAAGTTAAATAAAACAAGTGTAAAAATCAACATGATTTTCCCTAATCATAGTATAAAACCCCCCCAAAAAGAAAAATAAGAAGCTTCCACTGTCATGTAATAAAACAAAGCACATTTCAACACCTGAAAAATAACATAAGCTCAGACTAAAGGAACATTTTTCAGATTGATATAGACTTATAGTAAATATATTATCTTAGCTTATTTTATCATATTTGGCTTCAGACCAGGAAAGCAAAATTTATCATCAAATTCAGAATAGTGGGGAGAGGGGCTTTTAGCAAAATTGGTAATGTCTTATTTCTTAGGTATAGGAACATGGGTGTTACTACTCATAACATTTCACTTATCTTAGAATGTGAATAATTAATGTGAAAAATATTTCCATCATGGGCTGGTTTTAAGAAATCATTGATTTAACGAATACATCCATTGCAGGAGTAAATGGCTGACTCCCCGTCCCCCACCCCTCACGTGATTACAGGGCTTGCCCAAGCAGAGCTCAGAGGATAGTCAAGGACTGCATTGTTCTCAGCAGTCTCTGCCTGCAAGCTGAATTCACATTTCTGTACTGTTAAAATCCTTCTTTCAGTGAGCACTTGTTTGCATTTTATCTTTTATTAAAATTAAAGGTGTGAATTATATAGATTCATTATTTCCACAGTCTCTATAAAACATTCCTACAGAAAATGTAATAATAAATGTTTCCCATAATTCAGATATAAAAATCCCATAATTCAAACAAAAATGTTTGTTTCATTACCTATGTTTTTCAACTTTAAATTGATCCAAGATGTTTTGAGTAATAAAGTTAGATGATTCTGTCCTTCATCTTCAAAGAAAACCATCCTACCCAGTATCTATGGTAACTTGGTTTCCAGACTAAGAAAGTAGAGAACCTCTTTCACATAATAATGTTTTGATAGGTGGCTTCTTTTTTTAATTCTTGATCTCTGATCACCAGAATTTTTTCTTTTTTCTTTTTTTGAAAGGGAGGCAGGGATGCTGGGTGTGTCTATAGTTACATACCTCACAGCAAAGTGCAAAATGGTTGGGTCTGGTTTCTTGGGCAAATCATGGTCAAGGACTCGGTGATCTAACTGTAGCCAGTTCTGTTGACCTCTGTGAGAGCAAAGCAAAAAAAAAAAAAAGAAAGAAACAAAAAAAGAAACGATTAACTAGAAAATCGGAGAAAGGTTCAATAATACACTGTGTTGGCAATGTTGTGGAGAAACAGTTACTCCCATACACTGATGGTAGCTATTTCACTTGTTACAACTAGTAATAAGAACAATTAGCAATTTCTATCAAAATTATAAAAGCACCTGCCTCTCAGGTGCTTTTCTGTAAAAGTTTCTGTAAAATGCTGCCTCTCAATCAGCATTTTCACTTGCAGGAGTTTATAAAGATAAACTTGCACTTGTGGAAAATGGCATACATATGAAGTCACTCAACGTAGCATTATTTGTAATAGCAAAAAGGCTTGAAACACCCTAAATGTCTAATAGGGTATTGTTTTAAAAAATGAATTTAACCTGAGTGATAAAATATGATGCAGCCATACAAAAGATCAATAATATCCTTACAAACTTATTTTGAACAATATACAAGATATAATGTTAAATGAAAAAGCAAGATGTATAACACTAAATACAGTAGATTACTTTTTAAAATTAAAAAAATAGGTGCACACATAGGTATACATGTATATATATGAATATCTATAAAAAATACCTTTGGGGAGTTAAACACTGAAATAACAGTGGTTGTTTCAGACACCGAAAACCAGGTGGCATTAAGTATATTAATCTTTAAATTCTTATTAAATATAAAATCTGAAATATTTTAGATAGTTACTAAAGAGAAAAACTTTGGGTCATTTAATGAAATTGGACAGACACAGATAACAATACTAGAGCTTTTAAAAAAGTTCAGGGTTGACTACTCTCTGGGTGCTGATTCTGTGTGTGTGTGTGTGTGTGCGCGCGCGCGTATATATATGAGATGAACTTTGTAATAGTTAAGCATATACAGGGTGGGGTAAAAGTACATTTACAGTTCTTCATATGGAAATTAATACTATAATTAATAAATAATAATGCAAGAAGAAGCTCTACATTCTGATACTCACAACTTAAACCTACTTTTGCCCCACCCTGTATATTTGTTTATTTACTCAAGATCCTTACCGGGTTTATGGGTATAAATAGTTCTTCCCAATTTTTGACCTCCAAGAGATGGCAGGGATTGATGACACTGTGGCTCAGGACTGCTTACTTGACTTTCTCGAGTTAAGGTTGTTTAACTAGTTGATCTGTTTTGGACTGTGAATTCCCTCTGGGTACAGACTCTATTTTGCCTGCTTATGTAAAATCTAAGAACATGCCAACAGTGGTGGAGTGTGTCAAATCATCACAAAATCTGTAATGGGCCAGAAAACATTTTATAGCCTATTTTGGTCTTTAAGTAAGTACTTTTTTAAAAAATCAGAAAACTCTAAGATGTGTTAATTATAAATAGAGAGGAAAAGTGGGCATAACTTGTATTAATATTAATAATAATAGCTACTCTTTATTGAGCAACTGCTCTGTGCCAGCCAAGCTGGGACTTTTATGTGTGAATGCTGTGTTTAACAATAACTCTGCAAAGAAAGTGGCAGAGCTGGGATTTGAACTCTGGATAGTCAATACAGGAGAAAATGAGATGAGAGGGTTGCATTAGCTTTCATAAAAACTTATGGCTTGATCTCTGTCACTTACAATTTTAACACTGGAAAAAACTATTTTTGTTTCTGTAATTATAAACTGAGGTTTCTGATAACTGTTCCTAGCTTTTCTTAGAGGAATATTATGAAGATAAGCTGATATAAATGAGATAAGGTGAGGTTCATGGAACTATTGGTGTTATGTGTAAAATAATATAAAAATGGAGGACTGGAAGTTTAGGGTTTCTTACATTATATTTTATCAAGTTTAGGATGGTACTGAGTTAAAGACACATCCCAGGTTCACAGGTGTTCACATGTGTGCCTTAAAGTACATAAAATATTGTATAGTATCAGATCTTAAAAGTTTTCTTGTAGAAAATGACTTATTTTTAATTGTCTTTTTTACTTTTACATAGGAAAGATGTGACATTATTTAAAAAGTATAATGTATATTTATATGAACTTGCATGGAATGATGTCCAAGAATGAATAAATCAATTATATTAACCAGAGAAGCACACTCAAAACACTATTATATATGGATGAAACTTCTTGGATATAGTTCTGGAGACATATAAAACAAATTGCTACAATCAAAAGGGACTGGCTTTAACTATGATATTATATATTTTTATAACAAGATGTTTATGTAAAAGTAATATAACTTCTAAAGGATAAATTAGAAATTAGATTAAAAAAAAATCCATCCATAATCTCATCAACAGGATAAAAGAACAAGAAGTAAAAATTACACAACTCTATCACTGAGATGTAATCAAAGTTAACATGCTATTTTATAGTCTTTGAGGCTTATGTGAGATTTAAAAGCTTATACAGTAACCTCTTTTGCTCAAGTTTTTCTATCAGCAAATATAACAGATCTAATCAATTCCTCAGTGAGATGTTTGAATCTACACATTCACTTCTATCAAGCTGTGGAAGTCAACCTTAAAGCCCGTTTCCTTTTTGGCTAGAACTGTTTCAGTTCAAGGCCCATCAGATGGAATGATAGGCAAAAGTCATAACTGTTGTAAAGTCTATTTGTTATGACTTGATAAAGCTTATTCCTAAAGTCTTTTCAAAACAAGGGAAGAAAAAGCATGAAATGGGTTGAAGGAAATGGGAACCCTTGTGAACAGAGGAGCCACTGTGTCAGGAGGGACGTGACTGCCCTCTAGGGGTAACAGACTCACCTTGCACACAGAACACCAGAAGGTAAACAAAGTAACGGAGAAATCTCAAGAACTGTACGCCCCTCCCTCTAATAGGATCATGAATTTGTTTTTCTTGGTCACCATCACTACTTTTATTATGTAACTGCAAAATTCTATTTTTCCATTTCTCTTTTTGGCCTGTGTTGTAGGGTATCGACGTAGCTAGTTTTAGTGACAAAATGTCCAACTCTGCTTCTACTTTATTTAGAGCTGGTCCCCAAAAGCGAACGGCTGAGGTGGCATCTATGCTGGAAAATTCAGTTCAGACTGCTTCCTGGTAGGGATCCGACTCAGTGGTCTTATGGTGGGGGCGGTGAAGGGGGAGTGCTGGAAGAAAATACTTTCCAAAAATATTTACCAGGCAAAAAGAACTAGGCTGGTGACCAAGACATTCCAAGGAGACACCCTTAGACAGAAGCGATTTTCCAGACCTGTTGCACAGAAAGGTGGAAACGGCTAATCCCACTTACTGCCTCCCACTCCATCAAAAAGCCCAGCTCATACTTTTCTGAAAATAAACATAGCTAAAGCCAGAAGACACCTTCCAAACTGGTCATAATTCAAAAATAGACTCTGCTGTCCTTTGCAGGGGAATGCATAGAAGACATTTTGGAGCCAGGCTTCTTGGAAGGACTGTAACATTGGCCACTGCCGCCAAAAGAGATAATTGAGCAATGCCTGATTGAGACAGTCCTCTCTCAATAGAGGATTTAGAAAGAAATCCCAGGGCAGGAGAGGGGGACAGTGGCTCAGGAAGTCATTCATTATTCTTTCTTTTCTTTCTGAAGAAACGGCCTTATAGTCTGAACTCCTGATTTATGCATGGTCTGGTTTTGCTCACCTGAGCTCAGAGCTTTTCCAGAAGTTTCCATGGGGCCAGCACTCTTTTTTACCACCCACCATGGCCTTGTGGTTTGGAGAACCTGTGACCCCACAGTCCCGAATCGTGTCACTCCCCTAAATAACACCCTCCTGTGGCTGAGGGGTTCCTCTTCCGCCTACATGAGTCATGATCATCAGACTCACCAAGATCTTGTCTCTGTTATACTTTACTCCACAGTTAGGTCACACTCCTCCCTTCAGGGAAATGTACCACATTCATTATCGTGTCCATGCACTGTCCACAAAATGACTCTTCTATGGAATGTCATCTCCTGTCCCCTCTATCTAAAATCTACCAGCCTTGCCAGGTCCAACTTTAGATATCCTGCTGTGTGAATCCGACCCCAGTCCTCCTCCGGTCTCCTGCAGAACACTTACCTACTGCCACTACACCTTCCTTTTATTATGTACCTGTGCTATGGGCTTTGCATACTTACCTGATTTAAAAGTATGTAACACTAGTGCCCTACTGCATGTACCTTATGTAGTTCTCATTATATGGGTACTATTATTATGCCCATTGTACAGATGAGAAAACTTGAGTGTCTGAGATATTAAGTAATTGGTCCAAGATCACACAGTTAATCAACATTCTATGACATGACTCCCTTCCTCCCACCCAATATAATATCTTGTCTCATTTTGCCTCTTACTCTGTATTCTAGCTACACTGGCACTTTTTTTTAGTTTCTCAGAAAAAAAAAGTCAAGTTCAGCTCTGCCTTTTACTTTTTTTTTGGGTCTGGAATGCAACCCTACAATTTATAGAACTGGTTCTTGCTTTTTAAAATATATTTATTTATTTTTTATTGTTGAAACTATTCCAGATGTTCCCCATTTCTCCCCTTCTTGTTCCTTCCACTCAGCCACTGCACCCCTCAAAAAATATATTCTTTGCTTAATTTCTTCCAGCCCCTCCCCCCCGATTTGTCAGTCTGTTCCATGTATCTATGGCTCTTTTATTTTGTCAGTTTATTTTGTTCATTAGATTTCACAAATAAGTGAGATCATAAGGTATTTGTCTTTCTCTGACTGGCATATTTCACTTAGCATAATAATGTCCAGGTCCATCTATGCGGTTGAAAAGGGTAAGAGTTCCTTTTTCATAGCTGGATAGTACTCCATTGTAAATATACCATGGCTTGAAAAAAATTTTAGAGAAATGTTAATATGTGAGAGAAAAATTGATCAGTTGCCTCTCAACCCAGGGCAGGAATTGACCTGGCAGCCCTTTGCTTTGCAGGGCAACACCCAACCAACTGAGCCATACCAGTCAGGGCTATTTATTTATTTTTAGAGAAAAGGGAAGGGAGGGGGAAAGAGAGGGAGAGAAACATCAATGTGATAGAGAAACTTCAATCGGTTGCCTCTTATATGTGCCCTGAGCAGGGATCAAACCCAAAATGCAAGAATGTGCCCTAACCGGGAATCGAACTGAGGATCTTTTGTTTTGTAGGATGACATCCAACCAACTGAGCCACACTGGTCAGGAGTACCATGGCTTTTTTATTCACTCATCTACTGATGGTCATTTGATCTCTTTCCAGATCTTGACTATTGTAAACAATGCTGCTGTGAACACAGGGATACATATATTCTTTTTGATTGGTGTCTCAGGATTATTAGGATATATTCCCAGAAGTGGGATTGCTGCGTCAAACAGCAGTTCCATTTTTAGATTTTTAAGGAAACTCCATACTGGTTCTTCCTTTTTATTATACATTTAAAAACCTTCCTAGCTCACCCTGTCTAAAACTGCACCCCAGCTTTTCTTGATCATGTCCTCTTATATTATGTTCTTCAAAACACTATCATTTCTGGTATTTCCCCATGTATCTATTTCTTTATTTGTTCTGCTAGACCATACCATTGCAATGTAAGCTCCAAGAAATCAAGAACCTTGTCTGTGTGGTTCACAGCTGATTTCCCAGGACTTAGAACAATGCCTGGCATTAGGGGGCATGCAAAGCATTTTAGTGGATGCTTTTAGCCTCTACTCTGTGACCTCTTTAAATTATAGTGTTTATGCCACATACAGATTGTACCATATAACTTAGCCATTAAGTGTTTGTGGTTTTATGTCTTATACTGTTAGCTATTATTTCATTCACATTCAGATTCAGTGTGTGTGTGTGTAATCACTGATTCACATGTACTAGTCCTGGTTTTCATGCTAGAGCACTTGGCCAATGGGCACCTGCATTTCCTCTTTCATCCAGCAGAAGACTGATCATGCAGGGTCCCAATGAGTTGCTGAGTGAAGAGATAATTTTGTGATTCAGAGTGAGGTAGGTGATGTTGAGTGTATTTTTCTCTGCTTTGTTGAACCCGACTTAGAAAATATAGTGAGTTCAGCCCTAGCCAGTATGGCTCGGTTGGTTGGGCGTTGTCCTGCAAATAGAAAGTTCATGGGTTTGATTCCCAGTCAGGGCACACACCTGGTTGGGGTCCTACAAAAGGAAACCAATTGATGTTTCTCTCTCACATTGATGTTTCTCTCACTCCCTTTCTCTCTCCTTTTCCCTTTCTCTAAAGTCAATAAACATAAAAAAGAATATAAAAGAATAAAAAATAAAAAAAAATAAAAGTTTAAAAAAAGACAATATACTGAGTCCAGAATCAAAGTTGTTAGGTTTTTCCCTGTCTCCTGAGAACTCAGATGCCTGGTTTCCCCAGCCCAAGTCCTGAGTCAATGGCATTTCCAGGAGGTCCTAGGCTCGTAGTCCACAAGGCTGGGAATCATCAGAAGTCACAGGTGTGAAAAATGAATAAACAGCTTCTGGTGATTATCCTATAATACCTGGTGAAGCTGCAGACTGAAAGAATACTTAAATTGGACAGTTAGAAAGAATGCTGGTTGTTGGCCAATATAGTTGGTCTGGAATACATTTTCTTAACTTTTAATATTTGAAGAGATCTTTGGAAGTTATCCCCAGAAAGGGGGAGAATTCCTCTGATAATGTAATGAAGCAGGCTGAATATAATATGGGCAAATTAGAATACAGGTGAATTGGGCTGCTAGTGACAGATAGACACATACACACACATATGTAAAAAAGTGTTGACAAGTCCAAACACATTTGTTTACATGAAGTTTTAAATGATCACGAATTTATTGTTACTCTACTTGTCACATTTTGGAGAAGATTTAAATTGTTGAGAAATATATACAATATCCAAGTTATCATAAAAAATGGATATAAAAGAGAAAAAAGATGGTAAGGATGTAACATAAAATGTTCCTAGATGAAAGTTAAAAAGTCCACTCCATATTAAACTATATACATATTTTATGGGTGGGCCATAAATTTTCCTTTAAACTTTCTTGTCACTAACACCAAAACATTATTCAATTTTAAGATCTGAATGAGTGACTATCTAGTATTTCTCTCAATGAAACATGAGCTCAATAAGCAGGCACAGTGCATTCCAATTTCTAAAACAGGATAATATTCTGAGTTCTTAAAACGATCAATATTCTTTTCCTTCTCTTTTTGTAATAGTCCTAGAAGAAAACTCTTGCATTATAAAATCTTTAACTAAGCAGGACATACTCCAATTATTGAAGAATTTTCCTCCTTTTTTGTTCATTCTGAAGAACAATGAGTAGGTAGTCCAGAAAAAAGGTAAAGAAATAAAAACGATTGGAAAAACACTTACGTGTCATCTGTAAATGTGATTCCAAAGTACTCCTTTTCTTTCAGGTTGAAATGTGAAGCCACAAGGTCCAGCAATTCTCTTGATAAAAGTTTGGGCTGTTAGTGTGAAAATTTGATTAGAAACAATTTGGTTGCCTCTCTCTTTTATTGCTACCAACTTCCTCTACCCCAAATAGTTGAAACAACTTTTGTTTGTTTTTAAATACCTGCCACCATGTGCTGCATCTGTCTGTTAAAATGTGCTCATTCTCTAAGCGATTGGGAAGGAAGGGAAATGGGAATAGGAACATCAATGAGATCATTACTTTCATATATTTGAAATTCAGTCCAGTACCTTACTTCTTTCTTCTAAGATAAAACTGTGCTTATTAATGCGTTGGTATTTTGGAAAAACACTCTTTTATATGTAGTATGGTGCTAATGACCAAGACAAAGAATATTAAACACCTCTCTGTCTGGACTATAGAAATAACTTCGCTTGGTGGGAGCTAGTTGAAGAGGATCAAGACTCAGGTTGTGGTGCGGAGAAGGGTCATCACAGAACGAACTAACAACAACAACAACAACAACAACAACAATAACCACTCATCGTGCTGAACTCCTTATCTCTATTATCTCATATACTTACAATGAGCCTTTGAGGTACAAGTTCTTATTTCCATTTTATGGATGAGTCAGCCAAGGCCAAGAAAAGTTAAGGATGTTGTTTGATGTTGCAATTAGGAAGGGCATGTATCCGAACTCCGTTCTGTCTGGTTACAAGGCCTAAACTTTTCATTTCTCTCTAGGGAGTAATTATACCCATTGTATAGATGGTGACCATGAGTACTTATGGAGCACGTAGTAGGAGGATTTAATCTATGAGTTTTTAAGAAGCACTGGACTTGGTGGTGGCAAGAAGCATGGTTTGGAATTAGCCAGAATGTCTGGAGTGACCATGGGTGCTGGATTTGCTGGATTTGGGGAAGAAAAGGGGTTTGCAGGAGAGTGTACTAGATGGGTTCTGTTTCAACTTTGAGCCAAACAGTTTAGGATTCATTATGATAGTTTGAGGCATGAATGTTTGCTGTTCATGAGAAAGAATAGTCATGATTAGAGGAAAGGAAAAAAGAAAGGAAGAAAGAAATGAAAAGGGAAAAAAAGAAAAGAAAAGCAGGCAGAAATCTAGACTAAAATGTCTCCTTTGCTGAAACTATTGTTGACTCTACTATTTTCATTCTAATTGAAGCCTATGCATAGTGAGCTTGGGATAAGCCTCAGAAGGGAGAAAAATTTAGATTTGGTCAAAGGAAAGAATTCTAGCCATAGCCATAGGTGTGGCTGTCAGCAGGGACTTCCACACTTTTTAAGGCTCTCGGTCCACAGTATTGGCTAGGTAAAGTGAGTAGCATCAACAATTACTATATCCTGACTCATATAGTCCCATATATTTTACACAGAGATTTAATTCCCATATATAATCTAGCTTGATTTTAACCATAATTCTGCAAGGAAGTCTAGGCACTCTTAATCCCAGTTTACAGTTTATGAAATGGGTATTTAACTTGAACAATATCATATAGCAGGAAAGTGGTGGAATGCAGATTTTAAGCTCACAATAACCTTTTCAGGGAAACATTATGTTCCCCAATTTGCCAACAAAAGGTCCAATGAAGTAAAGTAACTTGGTCTGGGTCACATAGATACTGAGTGTCAAAGCTGAGTTTGGAACCCAAATATTTCTGTATATACAAGGGGGGACCCCAAAAAACCTGAATTTATTTATAAAAAGTTTTGTACTTATTCTTACATGTTTAAACTTCAGTCACCTGCAAAGTACTCTCTATTTGGTGCAATACACCTATTGAGACACTTCTTCCACTGCTCAAAACAGTTTTTGAACTCATCAATTTTGATGCCTTTTAGTGCTTCTGCCATTTTGTGTTTTTCCTCTTCCACATCGGCAAAATGTTCCCCTTTCAGGACTTTTTTCACTGGGGAAACAAAAAAAGTCACTTGGGCGAGATTGGGTGAGTAGGGAGGGTGGAGCACTGGTAGAGTCATGCTGTTTTTAGTCAAAAACTGCTGAACACTCAGCACAGTGTGGGCAGTTGTGCTCATAAATCACTCATCATGAAATGGGTAAATGTGTTGAGTCTTCAAAAAAAAAATTTACTGAAGCTGAATGCAGCCTCTCACAACAACGTCAGCTGATACAGATGGGTTTCTAGAACACTGACCTAGCGGGGGAAGTCAGTACTACAAGGGGGCAACCTTTCAGAAGATAATTCTGTTTTTTGTTTTTGTTTTTGTTTTTTAGGTCCCCTCTCGTATTTCAGTTCCATGCAGACTAGGTTTCTGGTTTCAAAGCTACATTTTCCTCCTCAGTCAATCCTGAGTCATTGGCTTCGAGGCACAGGTAAGCAAGCAACCTGAATCCAGGCTATGAAGCTCCCAGAGGGCACCAGGGTAGACTGTCACCATGTGGGCAACACATACCTGAACCAGCAGCTCCAGCCTCCTATCATCAAGGAGGTGCACCTGGCAGTGCCTGCCTTCTGTCATCTGTGGGACAAGACATCAAGAGAGGTGTCAGTGTCAGAGATGGCAGGAAAACCTTTGAACTTGATTTATCATTTATTTCACATGTGATGTGCTCAGCCTAAAAATGGCTTCTCCTGAGTTAATCAACAAGCTTGATCATAAACATTTATTATAAGGCATTAGCTCTTGGATTTCTTAATTTAAACATTTTTAGCATTTTGATTTAAAAGAAGAAACAAACCAGAGATGACTCAATGTATTGAAAAAATAATACCTATACATGCACACAAGATTTTATTATAAAAAGGAGGTTTCTTTTTATACCCAGAGGAAACTACTATATTTTTCTTTGAATCAATATTTTATTTTTCAAATGAAATGCCTTTATCCATTGGTGTGTTTTAATAAATACGATATATGCATAATTATAGGAAAAAATTGTAATTCTGAAGTTCAAATTGAAAGTTTCCATTTTTGAAACTTCTGTTCCCTTTATAAGTATGTCACTACTATAATTAAGAACAATTAGACATCTGGCCAAGATGGAGACATAGGTAGATACACTTTGCCTCCTGGCACAAGCAAAAGAAGAACAACAACAACTTTAAAAATAAAAACCAACCAGAACTGCCAGAAAATTGAACTGTATGGAAGTCCAACAACCAAGGAGTTGAAGAAGAAACATTCATCCAGACTGGTAGGAGGGGCAGGGATGGGGAGCTGGGGTGGAGAGGACACACAGCAAGGCAGAAGCTGGCAGACTGGGCAGTTCCACATTTGCGTGCAGACAAACCGGGAGGAACAACTAGGGAATGAGACAGACCGTGAAACCCAGGGTTCCAGCATGGGAAAAGAAAGCTTTAAAACTTCTGACTGTAAAAACCTGTGGGGGTTGCAGCAGCAGGAGAAACTCCCAGCCTCACTGAAGTGTATGTTGGAGAGATCCTCTGGATCCCAGAAGGCATACAAACCCACTCACCTGGAAATCAGCACCAGAAGGGCCCAATTTGCTTGTGAGTAATGGGGGGAGTGACTGAAAGTGGGGTGAGAACTGAGCAAGCATCATTATTCCCTCTCTGGCCCCTCCCCCACATACAGTGTCACAACGCAGCAACCTGGGTTGCTCTGCCCTGGTGAATATGTAAGGTTCTGACCCTTACAACATAACAGGAATGCCTAGATAAAGAAATGTGTCCCAAATGAAAAAACAGATCAAAACTCCAGAAAAAATACAACTAAGCGATGAAGAGATAGTCAACCTATCAGATGCACAGTTCAGAACACTGGCAATCAGGATACTCATAAAAATGGTTGAGTATTGTTGCAAAATAGAGGAAAAAGTGAGGGCTATGCAAAGTGAAATAAAGAAAAATATACCAGGAACCAACAGTAAAGGGAGGGAAACCAGGACTCAAATCAATGATTGGGAGCAGAAAGAAGAGATAAACATTTAACCAGAACAGAATGAAGAAACAAGAATAAAAAAAAAATGAGGTGAGGCTTAGGAACCTCTGGGACAACTTTAAATGTTCCAGCATCCAAATCACAAGGGTGCCAGAAGGAGAAGAGGAAGAGCAAAAGAAGAAAACTTATTTGAAAAAATAATGAAGGAGAACTTCTATAATCTGGTGAAGGAATACACTTCCAGGAGATCCAGGAAGCACAGAGTCCCAGAGAAGTTGGACCCAAGGAAGCACACACTAAGGTAAATCATAACTACGCCATGCAAGATTAAAGATAAGGAGAGACTCTTAAAAGCAGCAAGAGAAAATGAGATGGTTACCTACAAGGGAGTTCCCATAAGGCTATCAGCCCATTTCTCAAAAGAAACTTTGCACGCAAGAAAGGGCTGGAAAGAAGTATACAAAGTCATGAAAGCCAAGGACATGCAGCCTAGATTACTATACCCAGCAAAGCTATCATTTAGAGTGGAAGGGCAGATAAAGTGCTTCCCAGATAAGATGGAGTTGAAGGAGTTCATCATCACCAAGCCCTCATTATATGAAATATTAAAGGGACTTATCTAAGAAAAAGAATAAGATTAAAACTAGGAACAGTAAAATGACAACAAACTCACAACTATCAGCAATTGAACCTAAAGACAAAAACAAAAACAAACTAAGCAAACAACTAGAACAGCAACAGAATCACAGAAATGAAGATCTGAGGGGAGGGGAAGGGAGGAGAATAGGAGAAAAGGTACAAGGAATAAGCAGCATAAATGGGAGGTACAAAGTAGACAGTGGGAGGTTAAGAATAGTATAGGAAATGGAGAAACCAAAGAACTTATACGTGTGACCCATGGACATGAACTAAGCGGTGGGGGGCAGGGGTGGAATGCTGGTAGGAGGGGGGCTGCAGGGTGGAGGGGAATAAAAGGGAGAGAAAAATGAGAGAACTGTAATACCATAATCAACAAAATATACTTAAAGAACAATTAGGATACACAGTTAAAAATGATGGGTACATATCCAATTAGATTTAATTTTTATCACTTATAATTGCAATACTGAGAAATATTCTTCGTAAAATATTTAAACAACGCATAGAATCCAAAGGTCTCCCTTGATTAACTCATGTTTCAAGTCATTTGATCTACTGAAACTACCACCCTGCTATTTTGAGGAGAATCCCCAGACCATCTTTACACAGACTTTCAGGTATATACAGATACATTTTTTTAAAAATTGCATATTCAGTGTTTTACTTTATTATTATATTGGACACATATTCTGAAAATGAAGCAAGTACTCTTACTATTTGTGCTTGTATGTGTGTAACCATCCAGAAATTTTATACACCCACACACACGACTCTGTGTGTGTAGGCCTGTGTATGTGGGGTGTGTATATATGTATGTGTGTACATTTTCCTGTTTTCAGTTCAAGTGGAACCATGCTATTTCTTGGAGATCTTTCCAAGGTCAAAACATATGGTCCAACCTCATTCTTTTTAAAGTATCAAATCATCTATGCAGACATGCACTAATTTAGCTAGACTCCTGCTGGCAAACATGTTGTTTTTGGTCTTTTGTTATTGCAAGCAATGTCACATAAGCTTTGCACATCCAGCTTTGCCCACGGATGTATAGTTACTGGGTCACTTTTGAAAAGCACGCATAGCATTTTGTTTCTCAGCTGTTGTACAACACTATAAATAAGACCTAGAAACTCAGATACATGTAAGTTTAATTTAAAAAAAAAAAACTAGCTTCCACCACTGAGCACCAACTACATCCTTAGTGTTGCTCTGGTACTTTGTATGGATGATCTCTGAGCTGCACATCAAAGGTACCTTCTGGGATTGGTGTTATTATCCCAATTTCACATATAAGTTCATGCTAGTAAGTGATTGCACTGGATTTTTTTATCTCCTGAACTTTGCAAGGCAAAAGCCAAATACACACCTTTGTTCCATGTATTAAGCTGTGGCACTGCATGGATATTACCTTATTAAAGCTCCACAAAAATCTATGTGCTTGCAACATCTCCACTTTACAGACAGGAAAACTTAGTTTAAGGTAGTTTATTCAAAGTTACCTAAGCAAGAAAAAAGCTAAGTTAAGATTTAAAGTCATCTTATTTCCACTTTACAATGGGAAGAAATAAATAAATGTATCAGTTCAAATCATTTTATTTCTTTTGTAAAACCCACACAAGAAAATTTCAAATACATGGCCCATGGAAAGAAAATAATACTCGAAAGATCAACTCACGCAGTATGAATCCATTAAGGAATATATCAAAACTCATAAAGCATTTCAAGCTATGCTGTTGCATAATCTAAATGAATTTATTTCATGATTTTATTTTATTTATATAGTTTTAAAATTTATTTATTGAGAGAGAGAGAGAGGAGACATTAATTTGTTGTTCCATTTATTTATGCATTCATTGGCTGATTCTTGTATGTGCCTTGACCAAGGAACAAAACTGCAACCCTTGTGTATCAGGATGACACTCTAACCAACTGAGCTACCCAGCCAGGGCTTTATTCCCTGACCTTTTAAAAAAATTTTTCCTTTCTATTTTGCTTTGGACTTCTTCTGGACTAGTCAATATTTCTTCTGTGAACACATTATTTTATCTTAGAGAATTAAATTGTAAAGTTTTTGGTGTGCCTGCCCATCTCAGGACAAACATGGGCAGTAGTGGCTGTATTTGTATAAAATGGTCCTCTTTGGCCTCAGTTAATTGGACCAGGGATGCACATCTGATCCAAGATGGGCCACTCAGCACCTCAGTCCAGGGAATGTGAAATTAAGTCTGAGAGGATGACAAAGTCGTTGCTGAGAGGCAGTCACTGTCTACTGTGTGTGGAAGAGAAGGAAAGCCATGTGCAGAGAGAAGGAAGAAGGTGAGCAGCTAATTGAAAGCAGGAGAAATCCTGCAGCCTCAGAGGAATAGCTGAGAGAATTGCTGTCTGTGTCCCTTATGTCTTCCTATCACTTCTAGTCCTTCCGCTGGTCTGGGTGAATTTTTGTCTTTGGGCTCCATGGAACACCCCTGTACTCCTTCACTAAATCCACATTTTTCTTTCTCTCTTAAGCTAACTTGAGTTGGATTCTGCTTATTGCAACTAAAAGCATCTTCATAAGATACCACAAGTATCTCTACCTTAAAACAAGGCAAAAGGTTTCCAAAGGATGATCTTCCCCCAGTGATGTTATTAATATGGTAAAGTTGTCAGTTTATAATCACTGATGCTCCCACCAACGACAATACAATGGCCAAAAGCAAGGCTGACATTTTGTGGGGAGGAGTTCTGAACGAACATCTCACTGTGTGACATGATAAGATACGCTCATCCTGGAGAAGGGCAGTGCAGATGATGGAGAAAAAAGAGTTACAGTTTTATCCGACCCAGCACATCTGCACATCCATTCACAGTGCTCACTAAGCCCTTTCCTTCCTGAGGATGGCTGCTCTGGGAGGTCACAGGGCTGATTTGATCATAGCCAGCAACAGCAAGTCCTGCCCTTGTCACTTACTTAAATTGAAGACTGAAATGTGGTGGATGTA